AACAGCTCTGGTAACTCACCGAATTGATACTCAGGATTCGAAACCGATCCGACAAGTACCACGACGTCTTCCTCTAGCAAAACAAAAAGAAGTAAAGGAAATGATAACGACAATGCAGAATCAAGGCGTCATCGAACCGTCATCAAGTCCCTGGATTTCGCCAGTTGTTTTGGTAAAGAAGAAGGACGGCACTACCCGTTTTTGCGTTGATTATAGGAAGTTAAATGATGTGACTAAAAAGGGCAGCTATCCGTTACCGAGGATTGATGACATCATGGACACCCTATCTGGCTCAAGTTGGTTCTCTACGCTTGATTTGAAAAGCGGATACTGGCAAGTAGAAATCGACAAGAACGATCGCGAAAAGACAGCGTTTTCTATTGGATCGGGGTTGTAGCAATTCACCGTCATGCCATTTGGATTGTGCAATGCTCCAGCTACATTCGAGCGACTGATGGAATGTGTATTGCAAGGTCTTAACTGGAAAACCTGTCTTGTCTATTTAGACGACATAATTGTTCTAGGAAGAACATTTGATCAACACGTCGAAAACTTACGGGAAATCTTCACAAGACTTCGGGTGGCAAATTTAAAGCTGAACGTTAAAAAATGCAGGTTATTTTCTAAAGAAGTTAACTATTTGGGACATGTGGTATCTTCAGATGGAGTTCGAACCGATTCCAGCAAGATAGAAATTGTGAAAGACTGGCCAACTCCAAAGGATAAAAATGAATTGCGCAGTTTTCTGGGATTGGCAACGTACTATCGACGTTTTGTAAAGGATTTTGCAAAAGTTGCCAGACCTCTCCACCAACTTACCGAGAAGGACCGAGTTTTCAACTGGAATACCCTATGCGACTCAGCATTTGAAAAGTTAAAAGTTGAACTATGTGATGCTCCTTTGCTAGCATATCCAGTTCGTGGCAAGACGTTTGTGTTAGATACTGATGCAAGTAACAACGGAATCGGAGCCGTTTTGTCACAGCATATAGACGGAGAAGAAAAGGTGCTAGCGTATTATAGCGGAGGATTCACAAAGCCCGAACAAAACTATTGTGTGACCAGGAAGGAGTTACTAGCAATAGTCAATGCAACAAAACACTTCCACAAGTACCTTTATGGACAGAAATTTCTTCTCCGAACTGATCATGCAGCGTCAAGATGGCTCCTCAACTTCAAGGATCTTGAAGGACAGATGGCCCGATGGTTGGAGCGTTTACAAATGTACGACTTCGAGATCGTGCACCGCAAAGGAACAACTCATAGTAATGCTGATGCTCTCTCCCGTCGACCATGTTTACCAGAATGCAAATATTGCTGTCGTCACGAGGAGAAGATACAATCGGAAGACATAAGAGCAACAACAATATCAGCGGATGACGGTTGGACAACGACGGATCTTGCTGATGCACAGTTTGCGGATGAGGACCTACAACATCTGATCACATGGAAGAAGGAGGGCAAGCGACCGGACTGGCAAAGCATCTCAGAATATAGTGCCGTGTTAAAGGGTTATTGGCTCAGTGGGACTCATTGTATTTGGAAGGGGATTTGCAGAAACGAAAATGGGAATCAGCTGATGGATCAAAACACCGCATGGAAGTTGTAATACCAAGAAGTAGAACGACCGAAATCCTTGATGAAATGCATAGCGGCCCTTCTGGGGGACATTTAGGAGTGAACAAGATCCTTGACAAAATACGAGAAGGATTCTACTGGCTTCACGTTAGAGAAGATGTGGAGAGCTGGTGTCGAAAATGTAACACATGCGCTTCAGAGGACCCAAAAGAAGGCTAAAAGGAGCAATGCAAATCTACAATGTTGGTGTCCCCTTTGAACGTATTGCTATAGATATTGCTGGACTCTTTCCGGTATCAGATTATGGAAACCGTTACATTCTGGTTGTAGCGGACTATTTCAGCAAATGGCCTGAGGTGTTTCCAATACCCAACCAAGAAGCATGTACCGTCGCTGAGGAAATTGTACTCAATTGGATTAGTCGATATGGTGTCCCATTGGAACTCCACTCAGATCAAGGTCGAAATTTTGAGTCACAACTGTTTGTTGAAATGTGCAAGCTGATGGGTATAAACAAAACTCGAACGACACCTCTTCACCCACAGTCTGACGGTTTGGTGGAACGATTTAACCAAACCCTGATTGAACATCTGGCTAAAGTAGTCGACGAAAATCAACGGGATTGGGATCGTCATATACCATTGTTTCTTATGGCATACCGGAGTGCTATCCACACAACTACTGAAGAAACGCCATCAAAAGTTCTGTTTGGGACTACCTTAAGAACTCCAGCTGATGTGAAATATGGCGTACCACCTGAACCACACCAACCATTAACAGAATACGTGGATAATCTTCGACAGCGATTAAATCATATCCACCGTTACGTACGCCTTAAAATTATGAAAAACACGGAGGCGGCCAACACCAGATACGACTTGAAAGGAAGCAGTGGAGGTTTTGCTGTCGACGAGTTAGTTTGGCTGTACAACCCACAGCGAAAGAAAGGACGTTCTCCAAAGCTCCAGCGAGGGTGGGAAGGACCTTATCAAGTCATCACCCGCTTGAATGACGTCGTCTACCTTATTCAGGAATATCAGAAGCCGAGAGCAAGAATGAAGATCGTTCATTTGGATAGACTGGCTCCGTACCATGCGGACACCGGAACGAAAGCTGTTCGGGACGAACAGAACTAAGAAGTGGGTAATGTTATAACCGTGCTACCGAACGCATTAGATTCTAGCGTATTCTAGAATGTTCTAGTGACTGGAGCATTCTAGAGTATGCTAAAATCGGACCATCTAGAAGAATCTAGAAACGACGCTTGCGAAGAGTATATAAGCGCACGTCGCAAGAAGATTAGCGATTAGTGAAATCCGTAATTAGTGAAATTCGTGATTTTGTGAATAGCGATTCGGTGAATTATTTAAAGCGATATTTGATTTGTTTGTTGACGTTGTCATAGCGATAGATTTTGAACAATTTAAAAGTTAATTGTTGCGTTAGTTTGAATTTGCTGGAAATAAACGATTAGTTGATTTCTTCTGTAAATAAAGTTTAATAACTAATAACTGTTTGGAGTATTTTATTCAATCGAAGATTTGAACCCGTCGCATCGTAAATCGGTTACGACGGCGAGTATTATAACAATAATTTAAAACGTTTTCAAATCACAAATTACTAAAATTGTTATTACCAAAAAAAAAATATTTATAAAAATATTATTGATTTATCAAAATTTAAGTTTAAAAATTTAAAGGTACACACATTTATTGGTAATTTTCAAAAACTGGTTGCGTCAATTGATCGTAATAGAAAGTTTTTTAATAAATCATAATTGGAAAATTAGGAGTGGCAATAAAATTGAGTCAGAAATGTTTGCTGAGTCAGAAAGCAATAAATTTAAATGCGATTTATTGAGCGAGTTATTAAAAAATATTTTCTCGTTATTAACATTCATGGGATCCGACAAAGTATCAAATAGCCGAAACAACAAAATAGCAAGCATATATCGCGATTTCGCGTTTGCCATTTAGTCAAGTAACAGAACAATTTTTATAACAAACACACATTTTATTTCAATTATTTTTGAAAGCTCTACCATTAATGTTTACATTTTCCTCTGTTTTATGTCAGGTTTCCATTCATGAAAAATTGTGCAAATACTTTAATTAATGTTTTGTTGATTATTTAAAAACTAGAGCAAATATATATGAGATACCAATGCAAACTAGAAAAAATTATTTTGGTGAATGTATATACAGTAGATTAATAAATTGTTAGAAGCAGTGTAGATTTGTGGGATTGAGAAAGAAACGATAAAAAAGCAACAAATATAAAAATTACTCATCAGATATTTACTGAAAAAAGAAAAAGTCAAACAGTCTATGCTAAATGTGATACATGAAATGCTAAAAATGAAGTATCTTTGACGAATCCAACCAATAGGCAAACATAAAAAAAATTTCAAAAGCTTATAGTGAGGTCGGTTTATCTAAAATTATTTCAATTACGGACCCCAGCAAGCCATTTTGGATATTGATCATCATAAGCTACTAAAAAATAACTGGACACAAACATTTTGTTCTAAAAAACTATTTTTTTTCGT